GAAATGGTAAGAATACATAAAATATGTGGTAATCATGATTCCCTATTATTTTGCTTTGAAGCATTATAATGTTTTCATTCATTAATTGGAATGGTTTTATTCTGGCTTGTTTGATTTTATTGTCTATGATGGTATGAACCATTTTTAAAATTTCTTTGCATTTGCCAAGCAGGCACTTATGCCTACTTTTGAAGAAAACAAGACATTATAATAGCTAGTGATGATTTAATATCATCTTACTTTGAAGTCCCACCAAGCTTTTGTTCTTGTGTCTCCATCAGTTTTTTCGTGTTATATCTTATTATATGTGATAGCATAAGGAAAATTTTTACAGACATGGAGATAATATAGACACCATTGTTCATTTTTTGTTAGTTGGTACTGAATACCTTGTAATACTTTCATTCTCTTGAATGGTTTTACACTGTCTTTTTGTGTTTGATACTGTAGTATATGAAGGTTAAACTCATATTTGAAGGAAAGAGAGACTATGGTGGCTACTGTTATGTTAGGTTGTCTTGTAGTGAAACACTATGTTCCTTAAATTTTTGTTTTGAAAAAAAAGAACTTAATATCAAATGTAGAAAAGATTGGTGCAAATAAATTTATTATGGATCCTAAAAATTATGAAAGCATACATATTGTATAATGTGCCAAGTTTTTAAATAAGGATTGTATTGAATGTACTAACAGAAATCCTAATTAAATTTATCTGAAGCATTCAATGAATAAATTGCAACTCATATGTGTAATAAAATTCTATGAGGCAAATATTAGAGCTTCAAGTACAATTTTATTAAAAACATAGTGTAGAAAAATTATTGAGACATAATCAATCTTACAATGGCATATAGATAGCTGAATGGATAGCTAACCAAATCTTCAATCACACAATTCTTACTATGATGTGATTTGAATATGGTTTGAGTGTGGTTTCTAAAGTTCTGTGTTCTGAACATCTGTCAAGTGTGGCTTCATTGAAAGGTGTTGGAAATGATTACATGTATCTATTGTGATGTAATTAGGTCATCTGTATCACCATCCTCAGTAGAAATTAATGTAATTGTCCCCAAAACTAGACTAATTCTAGTTAAAATATTTATTACAAAATGAAATGAGCCTGGCCTTTTCCAGGCCTCTAGTTGACTGTTTTGCAATTTACTATTTTCTAAACATACTCTCATCACTGAAATTCAGTGAGTAAGCAGAAGTCAGCACCATATTCTTGAATTTTAGAACTCTCTTCTTAATAAAGTTCCAAATATCAGATATTTTGTTACAGCTTCTAGGAGAGAAATGCCCACATTACCTTTTAGGCTGCTGCATTTTGGTGGACATCAGGCAATGCACAAGGGAAGACTGATGTGATTTGTTACTATAGAATACGGAGTACAGGGCCCAGTGTTTAGCTCAGCTGCCTAAGTGCCTACTTGGCAAATGTGAAGTCTTGAGTTCGACCCCTGGTACCAAAATTTAAAAAAAGAATATGGACTACTATAGTCTCTTTTCTTATAATGTTTCACACAGGTCAAGATATAAGGACCAGCTCCCAGCTCACAAAGGTATGCTACAGCAACATTATCAACATAATGCATGCAGCTATCTGGGATGGGCCATCATCATCCTGTACATTTATGGTCACGGCTTCTCCACACCAATTCTTTCCCCCCTACACAAACCTAAGTCAAGTACTGAGTTCTAACACATCAATAAAACATGAAATTCTTCATCAGTGAAGTGCACATGTGTTTGTATTCTAACATAATTGAATGACAAGTCTATTCTGGTGGTTTTCCTCTCCCTGCCTTTCCCTTTCCAGCAAACAAATGAAGCTCATTCTCAGTGTAAATGTTAACAGATGATAAGAAGCATGACTAACCATGATAGGCACTAGAGAAGGAAGGGAGGTTCATCTGCGCCTAAGTCATCTGGAGCAGCACTGGAAATGCCAGCATCTGAGGAGCAAGCGCTGAGCCTGAATCCTCTCTCTGCCTCAGGTTTGTTGGGCACAGGAAGACTAGGGCTAGGAGAAGGAGCAGTGGAATTCAGAACTGGGTAAAGGTCTCAGTTATCAGGGTTCCTCAATAAAGAGAACAAACAGGTAGGCCTGGGAAGAGCCAATCCTTTATCCCTTTATCTGAAGATCTTTAGGAACTTACTCAGAAAGTACAGTTTCAGAAACGAAAGAGGTGCAAAATGTTAAGCTTTTTGGGTCATGTACTTTCAACATTCAGGTCATTTTGCCCTTTCCAAGTGCTGCATATAACTATATATGATACTTGTTTCTAATTGAACCATGCAGTATGGTTTGTATTCCACTCAAGTTCTGCATCATTTGATCACTAGCAGCCCAGGAGCCTCTAGCTTGAAAGAAGCCTATTTTCCCTATTACACTGCTGCTTTCTGCTATACATTAGGCGATACACAGAGAACTCTTTTTTTTTTTATGTAGTTTCTCCCTGTTTTGTTTTATTGCGGTTTTATAAATTGGAAAAAATTGTTTGAAGAAAATGAAGAATAACTTAATTTTTTTGATATAAATTATTTTATGGATAGAAGATGATTCGATATTTTATGTTTTTGCAATGATGGAAATTCTGACATAACTGAGGCAGGTGATATACATTGTGATTGTTAAAGGTTGAGAAGAGATATGGCTTTTAAAGAAAGTGGATTAACACTGCTAGATTTGGTGGCTGATACTTGTAGTTTCAATGTGGGAGGCTGAGGCAGAAAGACTGCAACACTGAGTCTTTCTTTGATTACTTGGTGACCTAAAGAGAATTTGTCTAAGAATGAAAACAAAAAGGGTTCAGCCTGCCATTCAGGAGATGGAAGGAAGGAAGAAAGAAAGAAAGAGAGAAAGAAAGAAAGAAAGAAAGAAAGAAAGAAAGAAAGAAAGAAAGAAAGAAAGAGAGAGAGAAAGAAAGAAAGGAAGGAAGAAAGAGAGAAAGAAAGAAAGAAAAGAGGAAGGAGGAAAGAAAGAAAGAAACTTGAAAATGTGAAGCAGTAAAGATAATGAAATGTCAAAACAGAGATGCGTGGTAGAAACGGAGAGGGAAAGAGAGGGAGATTAATTCTCAAAACATAAGAAAAATAACTCAAGATGTCTGGTATATGACTCATTTTATATTCTACAAGTCTGAATGCCATAAAATAATAAAATGAAAGTAGTGATATCCAAAGTTTCTCATCGATTTATGTTTATAATCATATAAGATACACTTTTAAAATCAGTTCTAGAAACTTGGAAATATAAACATCACAGATGGTTCAGACACAGTGTGTGCCTCAGAAAGTTTGAAACTGAAAAAAGAAAAAAAAAGATGTGTTGATCTCTTTCAAAGTCCAAGAAGATTGTTGTACTGCAGTTTTACTAGAGAGTGACCTGATCACTGCAATCTTCAACAATATCTCCAAAGAAGTTTTCAGCATTCATTGGTTTAACATTGATATGGGACAATATCAGTTTCTTTAGTACCTATGTTTTTATCTTTCCAAAACACATTCATAATACTTGCTTATGTTTATAATGAATTTTCACCCAAAGTTTTAGCTGAAAGTCAAGACTGTTGATATTACTTCCCCACCAGAAAAAATTAAAAGTTTTGTTCCACAATATTTATCATCTTTGGAGTGGGGGTTACAGCCCTCTCAGAATAGACCTATGTGGCTCCAGAGAACAAGGAAAGAGTTACTTGGGTTGTGCTGTGTTTGAGGAAATGACCATGGTGAGACTGGGAGGTTTGCATCTTCCCCCAGAATCAGTGGGAGAAGCACACAGGGTTTCTAGTTAGTATCTCTAGACAAGGGTCATGAGAGGTCAGAGGAGATCTGAGGTTAAAATTTTCACCATACAACTTAAAATAAATACAAATATCTTGAGTATGGTGCAGCATATTGCCGAGCCTTGTCATTTAAACCCAATCTGAGAGTATTTTTTCATTGATGAGCTTAATCAATTTTGTTTCATAACTGAACTTTTTAATGTTTTTCTTAATTTTTTCCTATTTCCTTGCATTGATGGTAAAGATTTTAGAGATTCACTATTACTGTGCCTATTTGGTTACTATGCAGACCTCTTTTTAAAAACCTTTACTGATTGTTCTTGGTATACAGTACTTGACTTCAAATGATCACGTTGCAATACAATATCAATTAAATGAAAATTTTAAATCTTGTAACACTGTACTTTAAATTACTGGCTTCCATTTATCATAAATGTTCTATCTAAGGTTTTAACATTATATAAGTAATTTGAGGTTACTTGGTATGAAGCTACATCTACTGAGGAATGCTTTCTTTAGAGTGGGTCTTGTCTCAAAGAGGACATCCTGTGTCACATGGTATATGGCACAACTATCTCCACCAACATGCCCTTCCTTAGGAGTGAAAGATCTCTAAGGATCATGATCCATATATATATATATATATATATATATATATATATATATATATATGTAGAAGAGACAAAGTTTTATATATTTCCTTTTTCTCTTACTTACTCAGTAGTTTTCCACCAGGGACCCTAGGAAAATAGCTTTTGCCACTAATTTTGTGTATATTTTAAGATTTTTCTTGCTTAGTAGAAAATGGTCTGAGTAGGGTTCTATGTTTGCACATTAGAGACAGGCTTTCTCCAGTCTTAACATTTGTCCACAGCCTCTCATGTTCACCTGACAGATGTTCATGGTGAAGAATTTGTGGTGGGCATAAATTTCCATTTTACTCGGTGGTGCCCAAGGATTTTATGTTTAAATAGCCTATGCTTGGCTTTTGTCAATTTCATAAAAATTTTTAAAAGAATTCTCACAAGAATGGTGACAACAATTGCCTGTAGAAGTGCTGAACAGTGCTCATAATTTGTCTCTCATTCAATGGCTCATCTTTTTTTGGATTTCAGGGTGGTCATTCAACAAGTGACCACAGCATAGGTGTCTACTCCCCATGGTGCCTTTTATCACCTTGCTCTATATGAGGATAACTGATTCACCTCAAGCTCAACACACAGACACTCATTTTATTGTCAAAACTGATATTTGTCTTCAAATTTAGGCCATTGTACAAACATTCCCCATTCCTGAATTCTGCCTTCCATGAAACAAACACTTCTTCAGCCACTACAAACATATGCAAGCTTAGCTTACAAACTTCTGCCACAGGATACACCTATGTTAACAGTCTCAGGATCCTGAAACTGCCTGTGTCATCCCTTCAGAGCTCTGTGTGTCCTTGCTGGTGTGGATCCCCCACAGTCTTCTTGGCTAGAACCTCAGTGTAGAAAGCCACTTCTTTGTCTTTCAGTTTGTGGGCAGCCTGGGTGGTGGCACCAATCTGCAGGTATCCTTCCTTTTGGTCATACTCTGGCCAGTAAGGCAGACCTTCCCCATTGGGGTTCCTGGGAACAAAGAAAAATTCTTGAATCAACTGCATAGATGCTCCTTTGCTTTTGTGAGACTTTCAACTTCCCACTGGCTTACCTGTTCAAGAGAGGCATGTACCTCCAGAAATAGACACATGCCCATCTCCTTTAGCAGCTTTAGACTTTCACAGAAAGTCTCACTGTCACAGGGCTATGGTCTCAGGGTCTGGTGTTTGATGACTCCAATTGTAGAAAATACCCTATCCCAGCAGGTATGCCCAACCAGAGACCACCACCAATTCTTTTTCCAATTTTACCACCAGCCTCACCCAGTCCGAGCAAAGTTGGCCCAGAATTTCATCACCATTTTGCTAAGGTTGATCTCTTCTTCTGAGGCACCCTCTGTGGAGAAGTAGTAAAACAAACGAACAAACAAACAAAAATCCTTTTAATTGTTGGGCCACCAACAATTGCAGCACAGGAACTTGTTTAGAAATTCTGAGCCTTGACCTTTATTCCTTACATATTGTCTCAAACATTTGTATTTTAAGGGGTTTCTGGCTTTATGTGCACTTTAACTTGAGAATCATGAATAATAGGACCCATTCATGTACCTGAAGTCCATCCATATTCTGGCTGCCTTTGTCTTTTCTATCTATTTCTTATCCTCAAGATTTCAAAGCCACATACCTGTAGCTTATAAAACTTCTTGGCATTCTATAAATTTAACTTTCCTATCCACTTCTCTACTTCAAAGTATTAAAAATATCATATCTGCAAAGAACTTGAAGAACCACCTGAGTGAAAGATAACCAGAGTCACATGGATGTTCTGAACAGCCCTGAGAAAGATGGTCATAGGAAAACTGAAAGATTCACTACAGTGATGGAAAAAAAACTTCAAGAAACACTATATTATTAAATATATAAAGAATAAAATGCATGTTCTTGATTAATGAAATGAAAGACTGAAATAGACCATGGTATTTGACGCAAGGAGTATTTTACACTATTTCTTTATTCACATTAGACTCTATTGAGTAGAAAATCAAGCAATAGCATTTTTTGCCTTTAAACAAGGCCTTAGTCTCTTATGTCAGGCATATGGATTGTGAGGGTGACTACTGAGGCATAGGAGCACATCTTCTTTTATGCATGTCAGAGCAGAAGGTTATGTTCTGCCCAATGTACTTTATCCCTGTGTTACTTAATCAGTAATCTCAGAAAAGCAGAGAAGGAAAAACATGCTCAAGATCATCACACCAAGAATATTAGATCTCCTAACTCTAAATTTGTGGCCCAAAAAGAGTCATTACCTTTTACAAGTGGAGTCCCAAACACTGAGGAGACTTCATCTCCATGGTCTCCGATCACAGTCTTGGGTTTCAAGTCTGATGAAAAGATTGGTCGATATTGGAACTCATACATGTAGGTGGGGGCTCCAGCATCTGAAAAGACAAGGATCATATGCAATTTATGATACTATACCTAGTTAGATTGTTCAGTCTTTGATGGTTCAGGAAACACATAGTTATCATCTAAAGATAGAGAGTTTTAAAGAAGTTCCTTCATAGGCAGTTGTAGGGACACACAGATGTGTGAGGTAGAATGTGGATTTGAATCAGATGTTTTATTGAATGGAAGAATGAATGAATGCAATGTGTACAATGAGCACACTGCCTGAGTTTCTCTGATAACCCATAGGGCTCCTTCATGCCCAAAACTTCTACAATCTGATAAATGTCTTCACCTTATTTTGAACACTTGCAAGTTTTTTATGATCCATTCTGAGGGAAGTGAAGGAATCCACAGGCTTTCCAAAAAATGAGAAACCTTAAATGGAAATCTATACACATATGAAGTGTAACTTTTTGTTTTAGGAAACTACGAAACTCAAGATGTCATATCTTAGGTTTCTGACATATCTTGCTGATTTGTTGGGCCAGGGAATGTGAAGGCAGTAAGACAACAATGTGTTGATTGAAAATGAAAATAAAAGAAAAGCAAAACATGAAGAGAGTGTAAAAATGGTTCTGTATTCCCGTGCCTTTTTCTGTGTTACTACTAAAGAAAGTATATCCAAACCTCAAAATGCTACATTTTCTACTGACTAGATGAATAAAACCACCAGTTTTTATTAGGCTATGATTGTGATTCCCAGTTCTGTTGAGTCCGGCAGGTAGCCACAGCCATACTAATTAAAAAAATGTAAGACTCAGAGAAGAAAAGTCAAGTCCAAATCAGGCTGCTAGAGTTTTCTATTCTTCACATGAATACAGTAGGAAAAGGTAAAAATTCGGAAAAACTAAGAGCAAATCAATATGCTGAAACTTGCATTTGTTAATCAAACATTTCTGAAAGGAACTCAGAATCCAATTATAAAAGAAAGGATTCCAAATACCTGAACAGCAAACACCACGTCACCATGCAATCTTGGCACCTTGCTCAGAAGCTGGTAGGGCCCCGCCCAGCTGAGGCCCTTTGGTGCTCATGTGACATGAGTTGAAGACCTGAAAAGCATACTTCTTCTAGCTGTTCAGCCTTGGTATGCCATTCAGAACAACAACAGCCTTACACAGCTAGGGAGATTCAGAGCAATCATGTGGGTGTTCTGAAGGTCCACCGAAAATACTACCCCCATTTGAGGAGCCTTGGAGTGCCACTAGGGACTTCATATGTCCTGCATAAAGACCACCACTCAGCTGGGGAACTCTCTGCAGTATGGAAAGACATCCTATAACCAAGAAGCAACTGCATTCAGCTTCCCTCAAGGAATACAGGAAAGTGGCAAAATGGAATAGCAAAATGCAGCATCAAAACACCCAACTATCTGAAACAAGCCTAGGATACACTGACATAGAAGAAACTGTAAGCCATACATGTAAGTTTTTTGAAATGATAGCAACTAACAAAAAACAACAAATCTATGAAGCTGTACAGGAACTCAGATCAGAAATAATCTGCCAGGTAAAAGAAGAAATGATAAATGTAATTTTAAAATGCTAAATACAAACAAAAAAGACATAGTTAAAACAAATTGAGGGACACTGCCAAAAGGTTAACATCTTGAATAAACAATATAAGAAAAAAAAAGAATTCATGAACAGGTTCAAAGAGATATCCACAAAATCAAAGTTCCATCAAAAGCTGGCAAACCCACTTGAATGAAAGTTAATGTAGAGTTTCACACCTCAAAGACAAGATTGCAGCTAGTGAACAAGAAAGATGTTTTAAAAATAACAAAGAGTAAGGAAATAGCAGTATAACAGTTGCAACATGATTATATATATAATATTGATAGGGATAAATGAAAAAGAAAGTCACAACACAAATGATACTATAAATCTATGGAAGCAATAGCAAAAAATTCCCAAGTATGGAAAAGGAAACTGATATGTAGATAAGTGAAGAATATAGAACTCCAATTAACCATAACCAAGATAAAACTACAGCCAGACAACTAATAATCTAACATCCCAGAAGTTCAACATAAGAACAGAATATTAAAACTGTTGGAGAAAACAGACACATTATAAAAAGCCCATCTGAGTCACAGCAGACTTTTCAACACAATGAAATGAAGAAAAGCATGGAATGAAATATTTCAAATCCTAAAAGAAAACAACTTCCAAGTCAGATTACTGTACCCTACAAAACTGTTCTTCAAAATTGATGGAAAAATTAGATACTTCCACAACCAAGAATAGCTGAAGAACTTCATGACCACTAAAACAACACTGCAAAGAATACAGAAAGATATTCTAAATAGACATAAAAATAACTATGACTTCAAGAACATCACCAGAAAAATACCAATTAGTAAGGCAAAGAATTAAAGGAGAAAGGTAAAGAATCAATAGCAGATTTTTGTCACCTGACAAAATTAAGCCAGTATATTTCACTTATAACCATTAATGTAAACAGCCTCAATTCACTACTTAAAAGAAACAGACTGGCTGAATGGATGACGAAATAACACCTAACAATATGCTATATCCAAGAATCCCATCTAATTCAAAAGGGAATTTTTAGACTTAAAGTCAAAGGATGGAAAACAATATTTTATGCAACAGGAAGTCCTCCACCCCCCCAAAGCAAGGATAGGTAGTTATTCTATTTGCAAACAACGTGAATTTCCAATAAAGATGGGTCCAAAGAGACAAAGATGGTCACTACATACATTCAGGGTAAACATAAAGAGGAAAAGACAACAGTCCTAAATATATGTGTACCAAATATGAGAGCATGGAAATATATAAAACAAATATTAATAGAAATGAAAAATCAAAAGAGCAATAACACAGCTATAAAGTGAGATCTTAACACTCTATTGACACAGAGACAGATCAATGAGGCAATAAATCAGTAAAGAAATACTGAATAAACTTGTGAACAAATGGACTTAGAACACTTGTATAAAGTGTTCCATCCAACATCAGAATATACATTCATCTCAGCTTCACATGGAATAGTCTCTAAAATAAAACATATACTAGCCCATACTACATGTTTACATAAATGTAAAAGAGTAGAAAGTATCCCATACACATTATCTGACCATAGTGTCATGAAACTAGAAAATAATGACAAAAGAAACTCAAAAATTCCATAAGCATATGGAAATTAAATAATGCACTTATGAACAATCAAAGGGTCAAATAAGAAATTACAGAATAAATTAAACAATATCTACAAGCAAGCAAAAATACAAATACAATTTACTGAAACCTTTGGGATGAAATTGAAATCAGTTGTCAGAAGGAAATTTTTGCATTGAATTCCTACATCATGAAAACAGTACAAACACAACTAAAAAACCTGATGCTACATCTCAAACATCTAGAAAAAGAAGAGCAAGTCCAGCTCAAAGCCAAACATATTGAAGAAATTATAAAGATCCAAGCAGAAATCAATGCAATAAGGACTAACAAAACAATACAAAAATTATTGTCCAAGAGTTAATTCTTTGAAAGAATAAATAAAATTTAAAAAGCTACTAGCCACCATTATTTTAAAAAGAAAAGAAAAATCTCAAATGCATGCAATAAGGAATGAAAAGCGCAAAATCACCACAGACCCTGTGGAAATACAGAAGATCATCAATACCTACTTCAAAACCTTTACTCTCCTAGGTTTGTTAACACAGAAGAAATGGACAGATTCCTAGAAGCAAACAAATTACCAAAACTGGATCAAGAAGATGTAAAACTTGAATAAATTAACTTGAAATAATGAAAATCAAAATATAATTAGAGCTTTACCAACAAAGAAAATCTCAGGTGCTGATGGATTCACTGCAGAAATCTATCAGAAATTCAAAGAAAGCTTAATTCCAACATTCCTCAAACCCTTCAAATATCTTCAAAGAGAAGCAATTCTCCCTAACTCATTTCTGCAAGCAAGTATTACTCTAGTACCAAAACCAGAAAAAGACCCAACTGAAAAAGACAATCACAGGCCAATCTCTCTAATGAACATCAATGGAAAATTCCTCAATCAAATTCTAGCAAACAGAATGCAGCAAGTTTTCAAGAACATTATATATTATGACCAAGTGACATTCATACCAGGAATGCAGAAATGGTTCAACATATGCAATAATACCCCATATCAGTAATGCCAAAAATAAGAATCACATGATCATTTCAGTAGGTGTAAAAAAAGATTTTGATAAAGTCCTACACTCCTTCATGATAAGATCACTCAGGAAAAATGGAATAGATGGTCTTTACAACAATCTGATAAAAGCTTTCCATGAAAAACCAATAGCCAGCATCATATTAAATGGTCAAAACTGAATATTTTTACTCTAAAATCAGGAACAAGAAAAGAATGTTCAGTGTCATTACTTATTCAATGTAGTGCTGGGAACATTAGCCAGAGCAATAAGACAAGAGAGAGAAATTAAAGCAATAAGCACAGGAAAAAGAAACTAAACTATCACTTGTTGCATATGACATTATACCCTACATAGAACACCCCAAAATTCCATTAAAAGACTTCCTGATGTAATAACTGAATTAATTAATATAGCTGGATGCAAAATCATTACTCAAGAATCAGTAGCATTTCTGTACATAAACAACAAACTCACTGAGAGGGAAATAAGAGAAAAAACCTTGTACAATATAACCCAAAAATGAATTATTTGGAAATCAATCTAATAATGGAAGTAAAAGATCTATTCAGTAAAAATTACAACATTCTAACAAAAGAAATTGAAGAGGATCTCAGAAAATGGGTAGACATTCCCTGTTCATGGGTAGGAAGAGCAAAGACTGTGAAAATGGCCATTCTCCTAAAACTGTTAAACAGATTAATGAAAAGGAAAGCACAGAAGACCAAAAATCATGAGATACAGCAAAGTGGTTCTAAGACAAAACAGTACATCAATAACACATACACCTACAAGAAAGGTACTATAAGAAAAACCTGTAGCAATGCTCCA